CCTCATCATATCCCCTTCTCTAATTCTGACCCTTCCCCCTGCCTTTTTCAAGGACCTGTGATTATATTGGACCCACCCTGTTAATCCAAGAAAATCCCCCTATCTCAAGATCATTAATTTAATCACATCTGCAAGGTAACATACTCATAGGTTCCAGGGATTGGGACCTAGGTATCTTTGGGGAGGGGGTATTAATCTGCCTTTCACACACATGAGCGGCCACCCAGCCCAGCCATGTGTCTAGTGCATGCATTCCTCTTCATGGTTCCCGGTGGTGGTTTTCTGGCTCATACTTGAATATTTGTATTGACCAAGAACACATCATCACATTGTCTCTCAAAGTGACATGTTGGACCAGTTTCCTTTTCTGCATGGAACTTCAGCATTTTAAAATTCAGTTAATTTTATTGTCTACATCTTCCTTCTTGTGATGGGTTCTGAGTCCTTTCTTCATATTGTTTATGATCTGGATGATACCATTGGTGTCTGTCTCTGTCTTGTAAAGATGGTCCCAAGAACTGTAATCAGTATTTAAAAACTGGTCTGACAAATACGAAGCAATGCAGGACTGCTCCCTTCCTTGCTCAAGTCACTTCTCCCGACAAAGGCTGAATTGCAGTGGCTTATTTGACGGCCATTCTCACGGCATGGAATTACAGGTTTTCAGAGGTAATGTGGGGTCACCGATAATACCTAGGGCACCTTTCTTCATCCCTACATTTTCATTTCCTCATCTGCAAAATGGAAATGATAATGCCTTTTTTATAAAGTTGATATGATAATTGAATGAGATATTCTACTTCTAGCATTTTGCAAAGTACCCAACGCATAGCAGGAACTCAATAAAGTGTACTGCTGCTGCTTTTGGTACTAGGACTCTTACTACTGCCATCATCATTAACAACATCATCAATGATAATCTGAGTTCACAAAAAACCGAAGTCATTTACACATTTTCTTTCTTTTTTTTTTTTTAAACTAAAGGACAGGAAATTTTATTTGGTTCCATAACTCTTAACAAATATCCAGTGTGTGTGTGTGTATATATGTATGTATATGTGTGTGTGTGTATATATATATAAAATAAAGCTGCTGGGATGGTGTACAGTGCTTTACATGCTGTGGTGATCATGTACTATATGCCTTTATCCAAGGCACTCCTAAGACAGAAACAAGAATTACAGTTTTCAGCTACTGATGGAAATTCTTACCCATCTAGGTCAAGCTGTTAATGGACCCATTTGACTGCAGTCACTGAACTCTTGAGTTTGTTCCCACTTTTATGACCTTATCTTTATCTTGTCTACAGTGGTATTTTGAAAGGCCTTCATATGTGTAAAGGCTCCCTAGCCAGCAGGCCTGCTAAAGAGAAAGAAAGTGTGGTGCACATCAAATTTTCAGAGTAATAAATTTGAGAGGTACAAGGTGTTAATAAACATTGTCAGGGAAATAGTTTTTCACATGGGTGTTATGACTTCTTTTTATACTGACTTGATGGTTTCTCTCTTAATTACCCAAGATGCTTTCTGAACACCATTTGGACTCATGAGTTTTCTCCAGAGTCAGCCTCAAATGTATTGATTTTAATTAGCACTTGTTTCAACTTGATCCTTCTGCATATTTTGTCAAAACGTGGCACCTTGCAGAATTGGAACATAAGCAAGCTGTACAATTCCTGGGGAGAGGCACATGGAGAATGTCACCCAGGAGAAGTGTTCTTCTTGTCGTGTATTCTCTTTTCAAAGAAATCTGGTTTTAGTCTAAAAGATTTGCAAAAGATAATGGGGTTGCAGGGATAGTGACAGTTAAAGAACAGAAAATTAAAGCATATGTATAAGGAGTTTGATTTTGTGAACGTGTTGTTTTGAGGAGGTTCTTTTGTAAGGCATAGAAACAGCATAATATAATATAATAAAGTAGTGTTGTCTCTCCTACCACCTCTCCTGTCCCCACCTTTACCCTATTCTCATTTTCATAACAAAAACCTGAGACCCAGAGGTTTCTGATATCCTGTGTAGACTGATGTCACACACCGTAGCAGTAGCAGAGACTAGAACCTATATCTCCTTATTCTAATTGTCCTGTGAACCTACTGCTGTTAGTGTATTTGAATTCAGAATCTCTTTTGTGAAGAAGAGTTAGGAGAATCCAGCTATGTTATGAGCTAAACAGGCCTTGGGGATTGGCCTGAGAAGCTAACACCCTTTGGAACCTTACTCCTTTGTGAAACACACCACAGCCTACTCAGGGCGCTCATCTTCTCATGAGGCCTTCTCTAATTACCCTGTTGAAAATTTTAACTCTCCCTCCATCCCCATTCAGTACTCTGTATCCTCCTCCTCACTTTTATCCACAGTGTCTGTTATCACTTAGCATGCTATATATTTTACTTATTTATTTATTTATTAAGGAGTTACCCCTACTAGAATCAAGACTCTGGGGAAATAATTTTTGCTGTATTCACTACTGAATCTTCCTGGCTTGTAATAATAGTATCTAGCACACAGGAGATGCTCAAGAGACATTCATTGAATAAATACAGTACATAAAAAAAGAATTTTGTGATGCTGGCAGTACAGCCCTCATTTTCCCTCCTTTGGGCCTAGCCTACAGACAGAGGGAAACAGGTTACCTTGCAAACCTCCCTTATCACCTCTTGCCTTTGCTGGAGTCTGAGGGTCCCTGTCCTTTTAGCAGATAACAGTGGAAAGCACCTTCCCAAGAAACACTTACTCTTTATTTTGCAGGACAGTTAATCCCTGTGTGGTTTGGACAAGCTAATTACTCATTATGAGAAATTCCTAAGGTAAAAACCCCTGTAGCTATACTTCCCATTAGTCAGTGTAGGTTTTACAGTCTATTTGTAAGCAGAGCTATTTATGATGTGTCACTTACTCCAAGAAGCAAAAAAATTCTGCTGTTTTTAGCCAATATATTTTGCTCTAAAGTATCTTGATTTGAGTGTTGTTTTTTCACCTGCCAGATCTGTTCATGGAAACATTATTGTCAAGAATTTCCTCCCAAACCTCTTGTTAAACTAGCATGTGCAGGCCATTGTATGTACCAGACCTATTTTTTGTTTGTTGAAGTCAGTTGATTCAGGGGACAAATTTTGGGGGTTTGCTGTTGATTCTATAACGGAATTGTTAAATAAATAACATTAAATGTGGCAGTACAGAATACATGTAGTAAAGTGAAATGGGTTATAAAAAGTCTAATAAACATAAAATGTACTGGGCCATTCTCTAAAAATTAATAAAGGAAATAGTTAAAACAGAAAACTTTCAAAGCACACAAATACAATGTTTAAAGTGTTGAAATGTGTTGCTTTTCTCCTGGACTTTAAGTTCATTGCCTTCCCAAGTTGGTTTGTATAAGCTGTATAAGAGTACTAGAAATTCATAAGCCAGAGACCTCTGTATTGTTTCCACTAATGTATGTTTTATATACATTTTATATATACCCTTTGTAAAGAGTGACTAAGATGTAATTCTTTTTAGAACTTACTTAGTTTTTCTGTTTTATGGCCCACCTGTGTCCTTGTCAGCCTAGGTCATTTGCAAATGATGCCATCATAAAAAGTTGGTCTTTATGGAGGAAGATGATCAGGTACACTGATAATCTCCCATGGTCCATGGCATTGAGGAACTAGGGTACTTCCTTGTCCACACTTTGATGAAGAAGTTTTATAAAACTCCTCATTGTAGACATAGTTGTATGGTTATTTTTCTTTCTAGTGATTTGCTTTCTTATGGGGAAATTTTTTATTAGAAAACAGAGTATTCAAGGTCAGGAGATTGAGACCATCCTGGCTAACAATGTGAAACCCCATCTCTACTAAAAATACAAAATATTAGCCGGGCCTGGTGGTGGGCACCTGTGGTCCCAGCTACTCGGGAGGCCGAGGCAGGAGAATGACAGGAACCCGGGAGGCAGAGCTTGCAGTGAGCCAAGATTGCGCCACTGCACTCCAGCCTGGGCAACAGAGTGAGACCCCCCCTTTTTTTTTTCCTCAAAAAAAGAAAAAAAAGAGAAAAGAAAAGAAAACAGTATTACTTTTGATTTTTTTCAAGTGTTTGAAATCTGTGTTAAGTAAAAGTAAATTCGACCTTACCATCTCACCATTTACCTTTAAAAACTTTCTAGTTGTGCTTTGTTGACTTATTTCTTACTTCTCTATGCATTCATTATTTCCCCCTAGTTTAATTCTTATAAGAGAGGTAAAAGCATGCTGTTAGCACATTTGCCTAAGTTTGCTAGTTGGCATCAAATTTCTCTTTTTATATCTTGCAATAATAAGAAAGGGTTGAGATTTTTAAAAACTGAAGTTTTATAAATCACCAGCAGAGAAAAAATCGACAGTATATATGTACATAGGATGTGCCCATTTGAATATAGGGCCTTTCTCACTTGTTTTATAGCTTGATGATATGAAATATTAAGCTGAGTTTGTCTGTATAACTGAATTATTCTACATCTGTGTTCATAAATTGCTAATCTGGATTCTTCCAGCTGTGAGATCATTTTGTCCATGAATTGTGGAAAAGATTTAAGTTGTAATTGTATCCTTTACAGTCCTATTATTTTACTACATTTAGGTATTTCTTCTACCCTAAATTGCTATGACTATAAAGTAATAAGACTGGTTTCTCTGAGCCACCCCTGCTAGGCTGTCATTTTACAATCACACCTCATAAATAAAATGAGGGAAATATTGAAAAATGGTGAGACCTGACAATACCTTCGTACTCGGTCCCAGTATTCGCCTCCTAGATATACAATTACAGTATTGCTAATTCAGACTAGCAGAGGCTGGCTTTTATTATTCTCAGATGTTGGCAGTGAGGGTGAGGACACTTTTATAAAATTATAAAAATGCAAATATATTTGTACTTTTATATGTCTGTATAACCGTATATTGTATAAACTTTTCCTTGATATAGCACTTTATTACATTTCCTAATATATATAACATGGTTTTAATTTTCCTTTCCTTATAGGTGAAATGAGGAATGATTTATATATCACTATTGAAAGGGGAGAATTTGAGAAAGGAGGGAAGAGCGTGGCCAGAAATGTGGAAGTTACGATGTTCATTGTAGACAGCAGTGGCCAAACCCTGAAGGTATGTTAATACTTGATATTTCCAGGCCAAACAAGTCTGTGTAATTGCTTTCACTTAATCTTTAATGTGATCAGTTATTTTCTGATTTGCAATCAGTTAATTTCTGATTTGCTTTATTTTCTATCTTATTTTTCTCCTTCACCCCTGTGTAGTTTTCTTTTTCCTTTTTTTAAATTCACTAAAATTCCTTTCAGAAAAGAGCAGAAAAACGCAGTCTTCATGCTGAAGGTAAGCCAGGAAAAAAAAACAGCAACAACTTTGACAATTTGCTTAATTAATTGTGTCAATAATTTTCTTATAGCAGCTGTTACTTAAAAGCAACTTTTTTTTTCTTTTTTTTTTTTTTTTTTTTTGAGACAGAATCTTACTCTGTCACCAGACTGGAGTGCAGTAGTACAATCTCCACTCATTGCAACCTCTCCTTTCCGGGTTCAAGCAATTCTCGTACCTCAGCCCTTCAAGTAACGGATTACAGGCATGTGCCACCATGCCCAGCTACTTTTTGTATTTTTAGTAGAGACAGGGTCTCACCATGTCGGCCAGGCTGGTCTCGCACTCCTCGCCTCAAGTGATCCTCTCGAGCCTTGTCTTCCCCAAGTGCTGAGATAAATGCAGCATAGTTTTAAAACCATTTCATTATTTAATCCTATATATTTTCTTTCTGACCAAAATAGGCATGAAGACTAGGGTACTCCTTACTAATTGGGGTGAGAATAGCAGGTGTTTTTATGGAAGAAGTAGTTTTCATGAGCCCCTTCTTCATGGAGAAATACAGCTGCCCATTTAAATAAGAAGGTTGGTCCTGGGGCTTAGTGAGTCACCTACTGAGGCACAAAATAGGCTTTTGACTACTGCAGGTTGGGAACTTTGCCATGTAGTTGAGCTCCAAGTGGGGCATGCAGTCGACCATCTCCCATGTATCACCCAGGTCTACCCTTGGCACGGTAAATCCTTGGAGACCAGCATCAGAATTAAATAGATACACCCTGCTAAACAGCAGCAGGCACAGAAACACACGGCAAAGAACCAGTGAGGTAATTTTCTATGAAGTGCTATTTGAGGGGCAGGCAGATAGAGCAAAGTGATTGCTCTGCCTTTTCAAAAGATCTTTAGATGAAGCTCTCTTTAACCTGTGTGTTCCCTTTGTTAGGATTTTATCTCCTTTGGCTCTGGGGAGCCACCAGCCAGTGAGTACCACTCCTTTGTGCTTTATCATAACAACAGCCCCAGGTGGTCTGAACTGCTGAAACTTCCCATTCCCGTGGATAAATTCCGGGGCGCACACATCCGCTTCGAGTTTCGGCATTGTTCCAGTAAGTATTTGATGGCATTGACTGCCTGTCTCTCTTGTGCTGGAGTATCCTGCTTACTGGGCTCTCATGAAGATGTGGGTTGATCTTAAATTGATTACTTTTGTAAAAATCAGTTTGTTCCATTCTAGAAAGATTAGCCAGAAAGGGGAGGAACAGCATTAAAAACTAAACTGATTCTGGTGGGCTTAGGCAATCCTAACCATTCAGGTATCTCCAGGAGCTGATCCAGCTCTCACACAGATCGGGAAAACCCACTGGACTTTTCATGGCATGTGAAGCCACTGGGAAAGCCTTTGGTCGGCTCAGATGCATATCTGATTTGTGTGTATCTGCATCACTGTACTCTCTCAGACAGTATTCAGATGAGAATCAAATAATGTCAGCTGGAAAAAGGCTTAGAAGTAACATGAAGTAATTGCCTCACTTTACAGATTTTTTTTTTTTTTTTGAGACAAAGTCTCACTCTGTCGCCCAGGCTGGAATGCAGTGGCGCTATCTCAGCTCTCTGCAATCTCCGCCTCCCAGGCTCAAGCAATTCTCCTGTCTCAGCCTCCTGAGTAGCTGGGACTAAAGGTGCCTGCCACCACGCCTGGCTAATTTTTGTATTTTTATTAGAGATGGCGTTTCATCATATTGGTCAGGCTGGTCTCGAACTCCTGACCTCGGATGACCTGCCTGCTTCGGCCTCCCAAAGTACTGGGATTATAGGCATGAGCCCCCACAGCCGGCCTCATTTTATAGATTTAAACAACCCAAGACATAGAACTGTTACAGGGTTCGTCCACATGGGCATTGCTATCCATAAAGTTATTGCTTCTCAGTGTTTCTATTTCAGTTTTTTTTGCATTCATTACCACCCTCTCAAGCCCCATCTCTCTCCCCCAACTACCAGGAGTCCAGGAATCTTCTGATATTCCCTGTGTCCCTGAGGGTATCTTAGCACTGCCAGTGTACCTTGTGACCAGAGAAGGTTCTGGCGAATCTAGCTTTGGGAGCAGTACAACAAATGAGAGATACAGGAGAATCACATTTTTGAAGAAGCAGCAGGCTCCTTTCCAGTCTGGAAGGAATAGGGACTTTGCCAAAAGATTTGTGGTGACTTCACCTCAGTGCTGTTGTAATTTACCCAATGTTCGGGCAGAGAAGAAGGATTTTATCTGTTGCTGGAATTATGGCATATTTCAGAATTGACTCAAGGAGCTTCATAAATTATGCTTGTGTGAATGTTTCTGAATGCAGGAAGAGAGCTAGCAGGGTCTTAAAATTCTTCCAAATTCCAAGAAGAGTTTCCTGTAAAGGACTTGAAGTAGGAAAACATAAAGGACTTACAATGGTGCCGTACTATTTCTTCCATCAATCTTTGTTATAAATTCTCCCTGGGGCCTAATATGGGGTTTGAGCTTTAAGGTAAGAAAAAGAGAAAATAACGGTGAAATAGTGGGGAAAGAGAGAAAGAGCATTTGGAGATAATTATTCTAATTCAGAACTTGGAAAGTACAATAAAGGCTATTTTCAGTAAAATCTATTAGATCTCTACCTTCTTATCCCTGTACTTGAAAAATTACTCATAGGTTTTTTTTTCTTTTAATTTTCCTAATTAAAAGTCAGAAGAAACAGCCAAATGTAAAGAAGGAAAAAATCTTGATAATACCGCAAACTATGAATAACCAATGCAATCGTTTTATAAAGTGGGCTTCCAAATATTTATCTGCGTGTTCATATCTTTATTCAGAAACATCAGTTTTTCATGAAACAAATAGTTATTGAACTCCCACTATATGCCAAGCGTTTTACTGGGTACTGGAGACACATCAGTGAGCACAAGAAAATAGCCCCTCTCACAGAGCTTTCATTCCAGAGAGGAAAGACAGATAATAGCTGAGAAACTAAGTACATAATACATCAGACAGCAAGTGATGAAGTGCAGTGAAGACTTAAACTGCAGTTAGGGAGTAGGAAGTGATGGTACTGTGTTGCTGTTTTACATAGGGCTGTCAGGAAAGACTTCTCTTATAAGGACATGTGTTGGCAACAAACTAAAAGAAGTGAAGGCCTGAGCCATTGAGACTATTCTTTCTGGGGAAAGAAGATTCCAGGCAGAGAGGACAGTCAGTACAAAAGGCTTGAGCTTGAAACATGCTTGGCATTTTCAACGAATAGTGAGGGGACCAGGAAGGTAGCAGTGGCACCAGATCTTGTATAGTCTTTTATTTCATGATGGGGACTGTGCATTTTATTTGAATTGAGAAGAACCACTAGAGGATTTGGAGCGAAGATAAGTCTGGCTACTTTATGGGATAATAGATTATAGGTAGTAAGGTTGGGAACAGAAAGACCATTTGGGAAGCTTTTTTTAGTCTTCCAAGTAAGAGATTTAAAGTGTTCTGCATTACAAGGGTAGTGGTTCAATTCTTTTTTACAGAATATTAACAGATCGGATAGGAAAGAAGGAGAAAAGTCCAGAGTGACCCAAAGATGTCGGCCTGAGAATTAATGGTCATTTAATTAAGTGGGGAAGACAACAGGAAGAACCTGTTTGGGGAACAAAAATCAAACATTGCATTTTAGACATGTTAAATCAGAGATGTCTATTAGACACTCAAGATGTCAAGTGGGCAGTTGAGTGACCTCCAGGTTGGAAACTTGGGAATGAGAACATATTGTTCAGTGGTTGGTCTACTGAGCCAGCACTGGAGGTTGGGGAGGATCCCTGAACTCTAGCATTTGCTGATTTCCATGGTGTAGATACTCCCACCATGGCCAGTTTCAAGCTTCCAACATGACATCACTGAATGTAGAACTGGGGAGAAATGTGCACTTTCAGCTCTTATGGACCAGTATGATCCAGCTCCAGCACATCACTAATTTTGATGATTTCTAAAGTCCAAGACTGATTGGAGTTCCCAGGTAGTAAGTTTAGAGAGCAAAGGGGAGTCCAAGGATGGGTCTCTGGGGTACTCGCCATATTTAGAGCTGGGAGAATGAGAAGGAGGCATTATAAATGACAATAAGAAGGACTATCTAGTAGGTTGAAGGCCAGTCCAGGAAGAATAGAATCCAGGAGCTAAATGAAGGCAATTTTTCAAGAGAGGATTGATCACATGTGTCTGGTGCCAGTGGTAGATCAAATAAGATGAGGAGAAATAATTTGATTTGGCATCATGGAACTCGTTGAACCTGACAAGTTGTTTTAGTGAATCTGTGGTGATAAACGTGAGTTAAAGAATGAGATGGAGGGGAAAGGAGGGGAGTAATGGGTATAGACGAATCTTTTGAGAAGTTTTGCTATAAAGGATACAAGAGCTATGGTTGTGCACAGGAAGACTCAATGTCGTCAAGATGTCAGTTGTTCTTAATGAACCTATGGATTCAAGTTCCTGTACTGTCATTGCTGTGGATATCTCTTCCCAGAGATCTTTGGTGTGATTTTTGCTTGGCTTTTTAAAAAACATGAATTCTTTTTCCAGTTTCTCTGTGGGGTTGAAATTAATGATTTTAAAAGAAAGTCCTTTGCTATAATCACATTTTCAGAGTGTCCTCATATTAGGGACCAGCACCAGCCAGACAACATTACCGTTTTCTGCGTTAGGCTCTGCTTCCCTGTGTTTAAATGCCTGGAGCAATTAAATGCTGTGTTGCTAAACATCTTGTCCAAACTTCAGGATCACCATACCTAACACCTCCAGCTCAGATCTCACTGCATCCGAAAGTTGAACTTTTCTGTTCAAGTATAATGTTCTACTCGTGAAAGAGTGACAATTCAGCCCTTAACAGGCTGCTGGCCCTGGAGAACTCTCTGGCCATCTAAGTACAATGGGAGAGTCAAGTTAACCAAACAAGGTTCTTTTAATGCTTTCTTCATTTTTGGAGGGGGAAAAAAAAAATCTTGGTGGAAAGAACTGGAATGGCTGGAATGGTACTTAAGGGATCTACAACAAGTTACGTAACATCTATGACCTCAATTTCCCTATCTGTAAATAATTGCTAATGATCCTTGCCTTTTGTAGCTATTGTATTTCTTAATTAGGCATCTGAAAACCTCATCGCCTCATTTCCGATTTCCACAGTAGTGAGCCCTTATTAAACTATAGGTTTAATATTCATATTGGCTTTCAACATGCCTAACTTATTCCAAGGAGGTAACTGCAACAGGACTTACTTTCCTTACATGTGTGGATATAGGGAAAGAAGTTATGTCATGGACGGGGGTAGAGCTTAGAGATTCCCTTTCGATGGTTAGTAATCAAAACAAAGCATTTCACTTTCATTCATTCACTTGTTCATTCATTTAACATGTATTTATTGAGCACCTACTATGTTCCCAGCACTCTTTGAAACAATAACATAAAACAGATAAGACCCCTGCCCACAATGGGACCTAGGGGTAAAAAGAAGAAACAGGCAATCCACAAATTTTTAAAAAACAATTTCAGATAGTGACTCCCATAAAGAAAATTAGGCAAGAAATGTAAGTTGCAGATAAGGGGGCAGGAAGAGGGGATTAGAGGGTGACTGCTTTATAGAGATGGCCTATCAGAAAAGCTGTGCTCCATTGTGTAGTGGGAACTGTTGTGTATGGGTTATATTTCTCGATGATTATGCTGCTTGACAAACTATGTACCTGAACATAGATACACTTAAATAAGCCAGTAATTTTGTTTTTTACAGCAAAGGAGAAAGGAGAGAAGAAGTTGTTTGGGTTTTCTTTTGTCCCTCTGATGCAAGAAGATGGTAGGACTCTTCCAGATGGCACTCATGAGCTCATCGTGCATAAGGTAACATCAGTCAGATGGTGGCGATGGGCAGTAAAAAATAGTGCTGAAATAGCACCTCACTATCTTATCATTTTGAAAAGAGAACAAAAAAAATGACTGAAAAGAATACTCTTGTAAGATTGCTCTCAGGGAGAATATCTTTTTGAAAGTATTGTTTCTATATTCTGTCATATTCTAGAACATATTTTAGAGATGATTTATTTTTTCATCCTAATTTAGGGGTGGATATTTAGGTAAATCTGTGTATTGTTCTTAAAGTTCTTTCCATTGCTGTGGTAGGGTTAAGTAAACCTTACAAATAACTTTTTAAATACTACAGTACGCGCTTTCTTATCTAGGTCTGTATATCCCCAGAAGTAAATTTAGCAAGGTCAGCATTACTATTTTGTCTGCTGTTGTTACTAAGCAGGCAGAGAAGTGGCTGTATTTCATCATGACAACTTTAGCAGTTCTTGTAAATCAAGAATTGTCATAAAAAACATTTGGAACAAAGTGTATTGTAGTAGGCAACAAAAAGAAAACTTGCAAAGGAGGAACCTCTTGTAATTATCTGAGAATACTAGTAATAATGAACTGTAGGGTAAAAAATGTATTTTTAAGTGCATAGGCAATTTTCTCCAAAATATTCCTCCTTTGCATTTCTCCATTTCTGTAACTGTGTAATAGCCAGGCCCTTATCAACTCTCACCTATGGTAACTGGTCCTGCTGGGCTGGGTCTTGTCTTCCTCTAGCCTAGACATTAGGGTCACTCATCTAAGGAGCAGATCCAGACATGTCACTTCCCAGCTTAAGACCCATTCAAAAGCTTCTTGCTGAGAGAATAAATCCCAGGCATCTCAGGGCATGCCAACCTTCTACCTCCCTACTGCCTCACTCCTTACCGGCCTCTTGATGCTGCAGCCACATCCAGCACTTTCTAGTTCTTCACCCTCTGCTACTGGCTCTTTCTGCTCTTCCCTGCCCTTGTGGCTCCTGGAGTCAGCCTTCCCCTGCCTCTCCCTCTGAGTATCTTCTGCTCATTCCCGGAGACTCATCTGGGCCACAACCTCCCTCAGGAACTATCGCCTGCTTCCTGGCCCATCTCATATTCTCAGCTGGCCAGTTGCCCTTCCCTGAGCTCCCTGCTATCTGCACACATCTCTTACCATTGTTCTCACACACTGTTCCAGAACTATCTGTTGATCCCTCAGCTTACCCCGTTAGATTTATGAGCCCCTTGAGAACAACAGCTATGTAGAGGGATTCTGGCCTGTGATAGATGTTCAGTGAAGATTATTGAATGAATAGGAGATTATAAGCAAAAATTTTCTTTGGATTGCTAGTCAAATGAGAGGCAATATATAACACACCTGGTATTTTCTTTCTTTCTGTTTTTTTTTTTTTTTTGAGATGGAGTCTTGTTCTGTCACCCAGGCTAGAGTGCAGTGGCAAGATCTCAGCTCACCGCAAGCTCCGCCTCCCAGGTTCACACCATTCTCCTGCCTCAGCCTCCCGAGTAGCTGGGACAACAGGTGCCCGCCACCACACCTGGCTAATTTTTGCATTTTTAGTAAAGACGGGGTTTCACCACATTAGCCAGGATGGTCTCAATCTCCTGACCTTGTGATGGGCCTGCCTCAGCCTCCCAAAGTGCTGGGATTACAGGCGTGAGCCACCGCGCCCAGCCCACACCTGGTATTTTCTATTTTTATAGAATGTATATTTCAGTGTCTATTTCTTTAATCATTCATTTTCTGTTATTTGTTCAACATGTTTATTGACCACAGACTACAGCCAGGTACTGTTCTAGGTGCTGGGAAAATAGTGGCAAACAAGACAGCCAAATCCTTCTGTTTCTGGCCTTTAAATTCCCTCTTCATAATGTAATCTAAAAGAGCTAACAAGCTAACAGTGTTAAAATAGAAAGAAACAAAAATATCTTAAAGCGTAGTAACCAGAAAACCAAACAGAGGAACTACATATACTAGACTGCAGGGATGATCTATTTATCTCAGCTGTAGGTCTGAGGCTCCCCGCTAAGATATATAATATAACAGGCAATGTCTTGAGCTTCGATTTTCAAAAATGTAAATGGTACTTCATATAAATGTCTTTGTAACATTAAATCTTAGCTCAGAAAAGGTAAGGCTAAGATAATTAAGACTGGGCTCCCCATTTCCTAATGATATGCAAAAGAATGAATCACTTCTACATAGCGTATCCCATTTGGACCCTCTCACCTATGGGTCTGCGGGTGTGTCTTTGTCAGTGCTAGGTTTCCAATCAAGTCCTGGTTGACTTCTCTTCATGAGCATGAACCATACCAAGATTCTCAGTTGCTGACTAGAGACGTGCATATGCCTAAAATGCCAGAGGACAGGTAGCAGAGCTCGTTTCTCCACGTGAACATTTAGGAGTCAAACAGGTATTAATTCCTAGACAGAGGCCGTCCAGGTGCCTGTAGTCAGGGCCAAAACTTTTCTCAAAAATAGGACTTTGACTCAGTTGAAGCTCTTCCACAAAAATTGACTTGGTACTAAGAATCCTAATGCATAAAGGGGAATTTATTTGAGCATGAAAAACGTGTCCTCAACCACAAGAGAAACTCAGTGTGGTATGTGTAGGCTGTCTAATTTGGGGCAGACCTACATTGTATGGATCCATCAGGAAGCATTCGCTCCACAGAAAAAACCCCAAGTAGCTGAGTTTTCTTATGAATAGGGTTATTTAGTATTTCTTATTTACAGAGTTATGAAATACTTGCCAAGTATAACAACTTTTATTTTTCTTTCTCATACTACTGAGCCAACAAGTTCAGTTTCAGCTTACGGCCACTTGTAATTTATGATTATGAAACCGTATTACCGGCATAATACATAATCCTTCTTCTGCCACGAGAGGAAGGCACACAGTCTGCCGGTCACTGTGCCGCCTTGAATTCAGTATTTAAAAAGAAACGTGGAGAGAGAAACGTGTTTCAAATTATGAGCTAAAAATATAGCCCATTTAATAAGTGGTGTTGAGATAAATAAAATGGGTATTAGGGGAAGCAGGGAAGAACTGGATTCCTACCTTCCTCTTATTGCGAAAACACATTCCAGATTGAATGTAAGAAATAAAACTGAGCCGGGCACAGCGGCTCATGCCTGTAATCCCAGCACTTTGGGAGGCCAAGGCTGGTGGACCTCCTGAAGTCAGGAATTCGAGACCAGCCTGGCCAACACGGTGAAACCCCGTCTCTACTAAAAATCAAAAAAGTTATCCTGGCATGGTGGTGGGCGCCTGTAATCCCAGCTAGTTGGGAGGCTAAGGCAGGAGAATCGCTTGAACCCAGGAGGTGGAGGTTGCAGTGAGCCAAGATAATGCCATTGCACTCCAGCCTGGGCAACAAGGGTAAAACTCAGTGTCAAATCAATCAATCAATCAATCTGTATGAGCCTTAAAAATATGGGTGAGCATTTTTGTAATCTACAGGTGAGAAGGGCCTTTCTAAGGATGTCTCAAATGTTAGAAATCAAATTTAAAAATCAAGTAAATTTGGCTACATAAAATTTAAGATATTTATTGATAAAACAATCATAATCTAGGCTGAAAACACATTTCAAACTGAAATATAGTTGCAACGTAGCTTGTAAAGGGTTTTTATAACCCCATAGGTAACCCTTGTAAAGGGTTAGCATTCCTAATTGACCAAGAGTTATCACATATCAGTAGGAAAAGGAAAAGCTGATAAATGCTACAAACAGGCTATTTAAAAGTAATAAATGCAAATCTATAAAATAAAAGCATGAATAAGTAAAGAAATCTGTTTAAGTTAAAAAATTCGAAACCTTTTTGCCTGTCAGACTGGCAGAGATTTTTAAAGCCCCGAATTGGAGAGCAAGGTTAAGGGAAAATAGTCTCATGCATTTACAGAAGAAATGTGAATAGTATTGTGTTTCTGGAGGGCAGTGTGGCAATACATAGATAAATTTTAAATGTGTATATCCTTCGACTCAGCCGTCCCACACATCTTGGTATTTTTTGGGAGAAGATAATAAAAGGTGAGCAAAGATGATTCAAGGATGATCATTGCAGATTGCTTAAAATATGGAAAACATGGAAGTAATTTAAATTGCCAGTAAAATAGATCTGATTAAATTTAGTTATATCCATGCAGTGAATGAAATACTATATATGTGGAAATAATGTTTACAGGATAATTTTATATGCATGGAAAAGTACTTATTGTTAATACTTTATACATGCATATATTTAGTATAATACCATTTTTATAAAATTGTTTAACTATAGGTTCTTATGTATATATGTGCATACAGAGATGCTTGGAATGATATCCTTAAGTATTAATAATGACTCTTTATTTTCACATTGCTTAAAGTTTTTGTTAGTGGAGAAGTGTTATTTTATAATATTAATAATGTTTTTTTTTTTTATTTTGACCAAACAAAAATAGGAAGAGACAGAAATTTAAACTTAGTCTTGTTTTATACTATTTAATTCTGGACTTTTATGTAAGTAAAGACCATATTTGGAGTGGTTTCCAATGGCAATAAACTCTGAAATCTATACAAATCTGCATGTCATAACTCTAAGAGGATAAGTAAAATAACTTAGTCGTCATTAGAGATTTTGTCCTTCCAGAGGCCCCTTTATAACTCTCAAAGCATCAGTTATATCTCCAAATGGCTGACAGATAAGTCTAAAAGTTCTCTTTGGAATCGCTAGTTTGCTAATAACCGTATTTAATCTTAAGTTTTGGTATTTCATTCTGTTAGAATTATTGTCTTCCTTAACTTTGTAGGAATGTATTTGGCTAAGCTTGTTTCAGCTACCTGCTGGAAAACAAGTTAGGCAAAAAGAATTAAGCAAAAAGTTTAGAAAAGAGAATGAAGCAAAAAATAAAAAAGAATGAGTGGACGCAAATTTGTTTTCCAAAAGTCAAATCTCTTAAGGAGATTGATGTGAGAATCCAAAAAGAGGGGCCTAGGAAGACAAGTAACTATGTGCTCAAGTCCCC